CCTGCTGCAGCAAAAAGTGACATTTATAAAGAAAAAAAATGATTTTTTTTTTTTTTAAACCGTGTGGTTCCCCCTCTGAAACAATACTAGACCCTAGAGGTCTTGTAGGAATGTTGGGAGGGACCCCATTAAGAAAATAAGGTGTGGGGTTCCCCCCAAAAGTCATACCAGACCCTTGAGGTTTGGTTGGAATTTGAGGAGGGACCCCATGTAAAAAAAAACAAATAAAGTGTGTGGGGTTCCCCCTTAAAAGTCATACCAGGCCCTTACTTATAAAAGGGTAAAAAAAAAGAAATTGTGTAAAACTGTGATGTTGACTATGGTGAGCAATAGGGTTACATATCTTATTCTATTGGAAAATGAAGGAAGGAATGTGGTTGTCACAGTCAAATTGTATTGTACTTGCATATGTGTTCCATTCTGGGGAAAATATGCCTACAAAGAGAGAGAGAGAGAGAGAGAGAGAGAGAGAAAAGCTCTGTATTAGCACCTTTGCTTTTTTTCTGGCGTGGGGCACTGCAGCTGTCATATGCTGGCTCTAAGACCAAGAGCTGAGTGATCATGTAACTGCTGCCTGCTCAGCTCACGGTCTCTTCTGCTTGTCAGTGACTGCTTCACACAGGGATTCCCCCCTCCCCTCTCTGTCCTTCCAGTGCTCACTGGAGGGCAGAGAGGGGAGGAGATGGGCATGGCTGGATCTGACTCTAGAGAGCCAGCTGTCACTTGCCAGCCGGGGAAGATCCCAACAATATTGTCTGGATTTTTTCTTGCTGCTGTTTGCCTATGCATGTGCATTAGTAAATGTACTAATGTGATCCAAAAGACTGCTTCTCTTCTAATACAATGCTACAAGAAACCTTTTGTGAATTGCACAATCGCCATTATCTGCATTGTACTCTGCTCTCTTAGCTAATAACTCTCCATATACTGAGACATGTAGTATTCCTACAAGGACCCCCCTGGAACTGTAATATGAGCCCATTTATATTCCTGCCAAATGTTGTGCTTCATTTCACATCTAACGCACGTTGTGCTGGAGATTTCTTTCTAGATGTTTTCCACTGGGGAATGGTGTTTAGCATCTCTCACAGTGGAAGACTGTTCTAAGATGTACTCATCAAGGGGCTGACAAATCTTAAGAATCCTCAAGGTGGGCATAAAAAATTAGCATTTAAAAAAGTCACTTTTAACATCCGAATCATTTACAATTGGCCCCCTGAGGATATCATATTTAGTGCAATTCTTTAAAAAAAGAAACAAATGCAGTTTATCTGGCAGCTGTTTCTGAACTGAAGCTCCTGAGAGTCAAATTGCTTTCTTTAGGAGTGCATAGAAAATAGTGTTTACATATATGAGGTATACCAGCACTGCCCACTTGAACTCCTTGAGGTACTTAGAGAAGTTGGGATTTTTCACTGAGAATGATAATCAGATCAAGATTTTACTAATTCTGCTCTTCATTGTGCACCTCCAGGACTAAACATGTTTAAGAAAAAAACTTTGTTAGAGATAATGATCACTTCCTATGCCCTCAAGCACTCATTATGGCTCTGAAGTTAATCCATTAGCTGCAGGGGATGCTCGAGTCACATTGCTTGTTAATATTGTGTTATACTGTGTATAGGCAGCATTGAATGCAATATGACCTTCCAGAGAGTGGACACTGTAGCTACAGAGTGAAGTATTGAGCATCAGTATACAAGTGCTTTGTGAGGGAAACTTTGTTCTTAAAACTCAACTATGTGTGACATGATTCCAGGATGCCCATATCATTGTGTACGCATAAGAAAGGTGTTTGCTATTATTTGATGCACGGTAGACAAACAAAGACTCAATATTTTGGAATAGCACTTTAAACTCTTCATTGAAGGAAGTTCTTATGAAGAGGTTTGAAGGAAGTTCTTATGAAGAGGTTTAATAGAAACAATCTTTGACTGTGGCTGTGGGTTTGCCAATTTAACAGTGCCAGGAAGACTACCAGTTAGAAATGGGTCATATATAATCTTGCCTTGATTTGTATTGTAGCTGTTATATCTTCATTATATTGTGAAGCGCTGTGCAAACTGTTGGTGCTATATAAATCCTGTATAATAATAATAATAATAATATTATATCATTTTTCACTGCTGCTATTCTCTGTGTTCTAATACATTGCATATGGATGACTAGGTCAAAATCCAACACAAGTTATTTTCCCCAATAATTCTTGATAGGGGGTTGATGTATTATGAGGGAAGCTAAAGTTAGCTTAAGGGCTTGGGGGATGATTTTCAGGAGTTAGGTTAATGGTTAAGGTGAGGGTCAGTATAAGATTAAAATTAATCCTTAACATGTAACCTAATCAATAGGTTAAGGCAGGGGTGTCAAACTCAATTTAATCGTGGGCTGCATCAACATAATGGTTGCCCTCAAAGGTATCTGTAAGACTATATAAATGTATCTAATCTTTATCATAATTGCCTCTGCATTCGATTATCACTGGTTTTAGTAATAACTTAATACCTAGATCTGAAAGTCTAGGAAATGGCCTGGTGGGCCGGATTCGGCCCCTGGGCCTTGAGTTTGACACATGTGGGTTAAGGAGATAAGGATAAGTGTTAAAGCTCAATTATGGTATTTATTTTTATTTAAAACCAGAATTAAAGTACAGTTGTAATCTATTCCTATGCAGTTTGCCAGCTTCCCTGGTCCCTGCTGTTCACATGCATTTGCTTAAAATATGAATAGCAATGACCTATACGCTGTTTAGCAAAGCTGCTACAGTTACATAAGCTGAACCTTGCATCATTACCGTTTGTTTTTTTGTGTTACGCGATACATTTTAGGGTACACACTGTACAGGTGAAACTCGAATAATTAGAATATCGTGCAAAAGTTCATTTATTTCACTAATGCAACTTAAAAGGTGAAACTAATATATGAGATAGACTCATTACATGCAAAGCAAGATAGTTCAAGCCGTGATTTGTCATAATTGTGATGATTATGGCTTACAGCTCATGAAAACCCCAAATCCACAATCTCAGAAAATTAGAATATTACATGCAATCAATAAAACAAGGATTGTACATAGAACAATATCGGACCTCTGAAAAGTATAAGCATGCATATGTACTCGGTACTTGGTTTGGGCCCCTTTTGCAGCAATTACTGCCTCAATGCGGCGTGGCATGGAAGCTATCAGCCTGTGGCACTGCTGAGGTGTTATGGAAGACCAGGATGCTTCAATAGCGGCCTTCAGCTCTTCTGCATTGTTCGGTCTCATGTCTCTCATCTTTCTCTTGGCAATGCCCCGTAGATTCTCTATGGGGTTCAGGTCAGGCGAGTTTGCTGGCCAATCAAGCACAGTAATCCCACGGTCATTGAACCAGGTTTTGGTGCTTTTGGCAGTGTGGGCAGGTGCCAAGTCCTGCTGGAAAATGAAGTCAGCATCCCCATAGAGCTTGTCTGTGGAAGGAAGCATGAAGTGCTCGAAAATCTCCTGGTAGACGGCAGCGTTGACCTTGGACCTAATGAAGCACAGTGGACCAACAAAAGCAGATGACATGGCTCCCCAAATCAACACAGACTGTGGAAACTTCACACTGGACTTCAAGCATCTTGCAGTGTGTGCCTCTCCATTCTTCCTCCATACTCTGGGTCCTTGGTTTCCAAATGAGATGCAAAATTTGCTCTCATCAGAAAAGAGGACTTTGGACCACTGAGCAACAGACCAGGTCTGTTTTTCTTTAGCCCAGGTAAGACGCTTCTGACGTTGTTTGTTGTTCAGGAGTGGCTTGACAAGAGGAATACGACATTTGAAGCCCATGTCCAGGATCCGTCTGTGTGTGGTGGCTCTTGATGCACTGACTCCAGCCTCAGTCCACTCCTTGTGAAAGTCCCCAACACTTTTGAATGGCCTTTTCCTGACAATCCTCTCCAGGCTGCGGTCATCCCTGCTGCTTGTGCACCTTTTTCTTCCACACTTTTCCCTTCCACATAACTTTCTATTAATGTGCTTTGATACAGCACTTTGGGAACATCCAACTTCTTTTGCAATTACCTTTTGAGGCTTTCCCTCCTTATGGAGGGTGTCAATGATGGTTTTCTGCACAACTGTCAGGTCAGCAGTCTTTCCCATGATTGTGATTCCTACTGAACCAGACTGAGAGACCATTTAAAGGCTCAGGAACCCTTTGCAGGTGTTATGGCTTAATTAGCTGATTAGAGTGGGACACTTTGAGCCTAGAATATTGCACCTTTTCACAATATTCTAATTTTCTGAGATTGTGGATTTGGGGTTTTCATGAGCTGTAAGCCATAATCATCACAATTATGACAAATCACGGCTTGAACTATCTTGCTTTGCATGTAATGAGTCTATCTCATATATTAGTTTCACCTTTTAAGTTGCATTAGTGAAATAAATGAACTTTTGCACGATATTCTAATTATTCGAGTTCCACCTGTATATGTCTATAAGCAGTTTGCTGTGATTTACCACACCACCAAGATACAAGGACAATAACAAAAATACATTATTTCCAGTTGGCCTTGTTCTCACTAAAGCAATGCATTGCAGCATGTTCCATTGTACAGGTTTTTTTGAGCCTCCATCAAAATGCTTGTATAATCATGGAAAGGTCTTTTCATACGTTGCATTTTTTATGCATTTCCAATAACTCATATCTAGTGACACGAAATAACATTAAAATGCATGCTAACAAATGCATAGAACACGCACATTGATGCATTAGAAACCAATCGAAATGCATATCCGTATTGTTGTTTTAGCATGTTTATGACTGCATATAATGTAAGTAAGCCTGTAAAGAATGGTTTTCTGTATTACATGCTTATAGATTTATATGCTGCAAAATGTCAAATATTACTTAAATCCTTAATAATACTGCTGTAAAACTGTAGGTAGCAATGACATTATCTTTATAGAGAGATGAATGTCTTGCATAATTTTATAAAAAAACAATTATTCTCACTGGTAATAGATCTTTCTCTTGCAGGAAAAAGAGCCTTCATCATTCAGTGTCCCGAGATAACTCCGAGGTCAACCAGCTCAGAGAGTTGGTATCCAGGTTCTCCAGCACTTCCCCTTTCCCTTACTTGGATGTTATCACCACACTTGGGACTGGAGGATTTGGGCGTGTTGAGCTGGTGAGATAAGTTGCTGTTGCCTAGATCTATATGTGCATGTTCTAAAGCAAGTAAATAAATCAATGAGATAGCTGAATTGTATTGTGACGATAACTTTACACTTCTCCTTTATGAGATTATTAGTCACAGTGCTGTATTATTCCAGTGACCAACAAATCAGACTGTGCAGCAAAACATGAATCTGATAATGTCTTGGGCTATGTACTGTAGCAGTAAATGCTTGAGTCACAAACTAGGTTTCTTGAAGGTACCCTTCTCCAAGGTGCCCTTCTCTCCCTCCGTAAAATGCTAAATGAAAGTGCAAAACAGAAAACCTTGTGGGCGAGGGGAGGGGGTTATACAATATACTTACCTTTCCCCAGCTTCCTCCATTGTGCCTGGGCAATGGTGACGTTATCTTCCTTCCAACTAGATCTTAAAAAATGTTGAGTAGCCCAAACCTCTTGAGAAGGTGACCCTGCACTGTGTTGCAGCATCTCCTTATAAGATTTGGGCTACTCAGCATATCGAGGGACCCTGTTGGTAGAAAAATGGCGTCACTCCCTGCTCAACTGAAGTTGGAGAAAGATGATCTAATTAAGTTTCCCCCCACAGGTTCTTTTTGCACTTTTATGCAATGTTTAAGAAAGGGGGGGGGGGGTGCTGAATATGTATAGAAGATCCTAGAAGCATTTCTAAAGCCACTTCTTTAAGCATCTTTTTTAAATCTACCAATTACTATGTAGTACATGGGCCTGCCTGATAGGATACAATTGGGAAGGGTTGTTTAGGAAGCCCTTCACATTACATCGTTTTGGTAAAAGTAAAGGAGATCAAATAGGGGAGTGGGCAACTATATGGCAGATGAGGTTTAATGTTGATAAATGTAAAGTAATGCACTTTGGGGTTAAAAATAGGCAAACGGAATACACATTAATGGGTACTCCTCTAGGGAAGTCAGAAATGGAAAAAGATCTGGGGGTCATAGACGACCACAGATTGAATAATCGGTTGCAATGCCAGGCTGCTGCAAACAAAGCGAGCAGAGTTCTGGCTTGTATTAAAAAGGGAATTTACTGTAGAGACAAATCTATAATTTTACCACTTTATAGATCGCTAGTTCAACCTCATCTTGAGTATGCGGTCCAGTTTTGGTCACCAATACACAGAAAGGATCTCCTTGAGCTGGAAAAAGTCCAGAGAAGGGCAACCAAACTAATTAAGGGGATGGAGGACCAAAGCTACGAGACAAGGTTACTAAATTTAAAAATGTTCACGCTGGAAGTGAGGAGATTAAGGGGGGATATGATTTTGATGTACAAGGTGTTCAATGGGGATAGCAACATCAGTAATAAACTTTTTAACGCTAAACTCCATAACAAAGACTAGAGGCCACCTCCTAAAACTGGTGGAGAAAAGATTTCAGCACAAGGGGCGAAGGGGCTTCTTCACAGTTAGAGCGGTTAGGATTTGGAACTCGCTGCCGCAGACAGTGATTTCAGCTGAGAGTATCGAATCTTTCAAAAAGCACATGGACGATTTTCTCAGAGACTGTAACATTCAGGGGTCCAGGTACTCTTAAGAACAAGAACACACAGTGACTCATACACATGCAGAGTCACATGCATACACGCAATGGGTTAAACTTGATGGACCTGTGTCTTTATTCTACCTCAAATACTATGTAACTATGAGATTGTATTGTGTATAGCCAGCTGCAGAAGTACTCCATGAGCTATCATTGGAAATGTTTGTCAGAGGTACCTGCAATGTATTAATTACACTTACCTCTGTGCTGTCCTTTCCAGGATGCAACTCTCTGAAAGCTCTTCTGCTTGCACAGCAGTACCATTCATGTACTGTTTCTGGTCTTTCCTTTACAGCAAATAACGCCATTTAAATAGTGTGCAGGCTCAAAAAGAGGTTGGCTATGGGCACAATTATGCTTTCATCAGTGCTTTCAGTGAGCTACATCTTCGAAAGGACAGTACATGTATAAGCATAATCAACATATTGCATAGAAACATAAAAGAGTGACGGCAGAAAAATACCAAATGGTCCATCAAGTCTGCCACTTTTTTTGATTTGATCTATGTTTTCTCTATTTCAGCTGACACCATAAAATATTATAGTATATAATACAGGTTCCCTGTGAGTGAACAATGACCTTAGGGTAACAGTGGCCTGTGCCAATCAGATCTCCTGGGTTATCTTTTTCTGGGGCTGCTCACTGCCCATGATAGATGATCCAATATGCTTTGATTAGTGGTTCAGCAGCCTACAATAGCAAACAGCAGGCTGGAAAAGTCAATCAAAAATGAATACAGAGAGGGGCATTCCATGAAAATGCTTGCATCTATTTTCTTTAGAAAAAAAAAGAAATCTGCAGTTGGGTGTATAAATACTCTGAGCTCTCACAGTGTATGACTCAATGAATCAGACTGACTTTTTTTTTACCAGCAGTGGTTCTCAGTATGTGGTACATGTACCTCTAGGGGTGCTGCTGACAGGTTCCAGGGGCTTTCTTGCTTGTCAAAATAAACTCAGTGTATGGATTAAAGTTAAATGCATATTTGATTTTATGCAAAGCAGCTAGATTAGGAATATTTAATTTTATAGTATAAGCCGTATATGGTGTATTCAAGACAAACTGATCCATGCCAGGGAGTTCTTGCTAAATTACTGTTGTAATAAAGGGGCACATAACATAAAAAGGGGAGAAACACTTGTGGATATATTTTTTTAGTATTTAAAGGGTAACTATAGTATATTTTCAGATATATTTTGACTTATTATTTCAAAATAATAACGGTTAATAGCCCTGCCCAGGGTTAATAGGAGAGCTCCAGAGCCTGCCGGATTGAAAAGTAGGTGAAGTATACAGCCTCTTCACCTCCAACCTAGACTTATTGAGCATTTAACCCTTGTGATGTCGGGGGCCCCCACTGCAAGGGTAGATTTTGCCTACGGCTTTAAGTGAAAATGGCATGTCAAAACAATGATGAGCTCCAGAGAGGCAATAGCTAAGTTCAGTTTTTTTTTTTTTACATGAAGTCTCAGCAGCCTGTATCTCTGGATCCTTTATTAGATTTGACATGCGGATTTCAATGAAGGTAACCTCTGCTTATGGCCTTTTTCTTCAAGTGCCCAGGTTTGCAATAGTTTTTGTAAGACTAGTTTCATATTTTGATCTGTTTTTATTAGGGATGCACCAATACCACTTTTTTAAGGCCGAGTATGAGTACCGATACTTTTTTCAAGTACTCACCGATACCAATTACCGATACTTTTTCTTAAAGGGACAGGTCACATTTTTTCTAAAGCAATACAAAATCATGATTTTAGGTCAGTTTCTTAATATTATGAAGAACATGAACACTCTGTAGTTTCTCCCGCTGATTGGCCGATTGACAGGCTTTCTCACCAGTCACTCCTGACTGGTGAGGAAGCCTGTCAATCATCCAATCAGTGGGAGAAGAGGTCAGAATGGAGCAGATGACAGAGGAGGTCGCGGCCATCTTGCTTCATTGAAAACGCGATGGAGGTCCTGTGTGCGGCGGATTTGTGTCCCTGAAGATGGCGGACGCGGCACAGGTACTCGTTTTATGTATCAGAGTATTTGCACGAGTACGAGTACTCATGCAAATACTCGGTATCGTGGCCGATACCGATGCTTGTATCTGTGCATCCCTAGTTTTTATTGCTTGCTCTAATGTGCATTGATGAACGTTTTTTATTTTACACACAATTCATGTGCTGGCATTGTCATCAGTATGCAATTACTATGCAATTCAATGTGCCAAAGGAAAAACGTGCTTTTTTTGGACAACGCATGTAAGCACAGTGCACAAATGTGTGCTAGGACCATTAAAAACTGTGGCAAAGGTGTGCTCACGCATTGACATGTGTTAATTGACAAAGATGTGAACGAGGCCTAACCATTGATGTACCTTTCAAATGCTTGCTTACCTGCAGAATTCCATTTAGTGGCTGGCTGGATTTCACTGCAGTCACTTAACTTCCATAAAGAAAAGATACTAACAAAACAATTTCAGCCACATACATTGCCTATAAAAATGTCCATGTTCTGTTACCATAGTATATTAAAGCTGACCTCCAGGTACAAAAACTTCTATTCAAATATATTTTTTCAATAGCATCACAGTATATAAATCCACTTTGTGTGCAGCAAATGCCCTTGAAACCCTAGATATTAGCTTAGAAAAGTAGCAGTGACATCATCATTGGACTGTACATAACCTGTGCAGAGAGCAGAGCTGTAAGAAAGACCCAGCAGGCCCCACTTACAACAGGCTGCTAGCTGCCTGAAGAAAACTGCAGGAGGGAGTGGAGACAAGACCAGTCACCCTGCACAAGGAGAGAGATCAGCAGTAATTGGTCTTTATCACAGGAAGCTCCTGCACAGTTCAATGTTTTAGGACCGAAAAAATGAAAACTTCCAAGAGGTGAATACTTTTAGTAGGCACTGTAAAGGGTACATTGTTTTGTATTCAATCAGAACTGCCTGTTGTACTGGAACCGTAAGGCATAAGCCCTGTGCTGCATTGCTAAGCTAGAAACAGAACCTGAATATAATGAGCAAACATGTCTGTAGCGTGATAGGGATGTAGCATAGTAGGGATGTGCTATTTAACCAAATGGCTCAGTGTACCTGCAAATTGATGCAAAGAACTCCTCACCAGATCACTTTTGCAATCACAGAGTGCAAATCAAACACCCCTTTCAGGACATTAGCTTTTCCCTGCCACTCATAGCTGATCTACTAGCAGTGTGAGTGACACCCAGATACATTTCAGATTATATTTGCAAACAGAGGATGTAGGGAACTATAAATTGAGATGAAATTGGAGTACTATACTACCGTATTAGGTGCTGCCATAGTAAGACAACACACACACACACTTAAGGTGGCCGCCATACAGGTGAAACTCGAATAATTAGAATATCGTGCAAAAGTAATTGCAGTAAGTGCTGCAAAAGGGGCCCAAACCAAGTACTGAGTACATATGCATGCTTGTACTTTTCAGAGGTCCGATATTGTTCTATGTACAATCCTTGTTTTATTGATTGCATGTAATAATCTACTTTTTTGAGGTTGTGGATTTGGGGTTCTTGGGGTTTTCATGAGCTGTAAGCCATAATCATCACAATTATGACAAATCACGGCTTGAATTATCTTGCTTTGCATGTAATGAGTCTATCTCATATATTAGTTTCACCTTTTAAGTTGCATTAGTGAAATAAATGAACTTTGCACGATATTCTAATTATTCGAGTTTCACCTGTACACCTTACAACCATCGCACGCCTTTCGTTGTGCGATAGTTATAAGGTGATTAAAATTTCGTACGACCTGCCCATCATGGACAGGCAGATCGTACTTGCTATCATCGCAAGGGCTTGCAGATGATTGCAATGGTGAGCGAGCAGTGTGCGCACTTGCGCACCTCGGGTCGTGTGGCTTTCGTCTTGCGATTGCGCTAGCGTGCTTGTTATACGAAAATCGTGCGACCGTACAGTAAATGCGGTCGCACACTGCCCATACACCTTACGGTTATCGTACAATCGTGGGATCACCCGTGATTATCAAACGATGATCGTCGGGTGTATGGGCAGCTTTAGAGCATTTACATCAAACAGATCTCTTTCACATATGCATTAACAAATAATACAAATATTGTTTCCATTTACATTCAAATAAGTTCATCTATAATATAGTTATTCACTGTCTTGGACTTTCACCTGGAGAGTGAGGAAATAATTTTCAACCATTCCATACTCTATCCATAATTAAAGTGACATTAAACCCTCAGATTTTTTAACATAAAACAATACTGTAATCCATGGTTGTTTCCCTTCTCTTTGCTGCTCTTCCTTTTAAATCCACTCTCATGCTGCGGGAGAACTTCCCTTTGCAGCTGAGTGCCTCTTCCTGTAGTGCTGGCTCAGGTTGTGAACCTTCACACAGACACCATGGGGTTGATTTACTAACCTTATAAACACGCCACGAACAAGTATACACCTCTGTAGTGTGTTCCCTCCCAGCATGATCTATGGGTGGAATCTAGACACCTTTGTAGTGTGTACACACCCAGCAGGTGTGTTGTGCATGAATTGCAAGGTGATGTTGTGTAAATTAGCTCTATGTTGTGTTGCTTGCGTTGATGAATGCAGGAATGTAAATGCATGAGCTAACCATTTTTGTCTAAACTGTGAAGCAGCATTATATATGCATCATGTGCATGATTTTTCCATATATGGCATTAGTGGAAATATGCTTTTAGAGACTTTTTGGTTGATAAATACGTTTTGCTGTGTGAAAATCACACGCACCTGGTGCGTGCGTGTGTTTAGGTTAGTAAATCACCCCCATGTATCCATTTCAGAGACAAGGCAGTCTGCTGCAAAACGGAAGTTCTCCTCAGCATGAGAAGAGATACAGATTTAAAAGGAAGAGCAGCAAAGAGAAGGGAAACAACCATGGATTACAGGAAGGCACACATTACAGTATTGTTTTATGTTAAAAAATCTGAGGGTTTAATGTCACTTTAAGGGAATTTACTAAGACTGGAGCAGACAGAATCTGGAGCAGCTGTACAAGGCAACCAATTAGCGTTTAGCTTTCATTTTCAAAGCTAAACTTAACAAACTGAAGAGAGAAGCTGATTGGTCACTATTAACAGCTGCTCCACATTCTGTCTGCTCCAGTTTTAGTAAATTCCCCATACTTATATATGTCAGTTAACTACCTGATGAGTTCATATATCCAATACAAAAATATATTTGATGTATTTCAGGTGAAATTAAAGGATGAAGATATGACCTTTGCACTAAAGTGCATCAAGAAGAAGCATATAGTGGACACACATCAACAAGAACACGTGTATTGGGAGAAGAACATACTGCAGCAGATCAACTGTCCGTTCATCATCAGGTAGCGCAACAACTGACCTATTCTCTCCTGTAATATATGCGACCCTGCCATTTTTTACATACCTTTGTACATTTCGATCAGGTTCACACTGGTATTTTATGCAAACAGTGAGGCAAATGGAAGTTGGATGGGCAAGTGAAAACATGACAGAGCACAGCTGAGAAATTGTCTATCCCCATTGTTATACACCCTGTATTCCCCATGTGAATGGCCCGGTGCTTAATGTAGGTAGATGGGGAGGTTCAGCCTTGGGCACCCAGAGGGGAATAATGAGTGGGCACGAGGGGCTTATACCTGGGGCATATTCACTGTTCACATGGTAAAATATGCCACTGTCATTGTATGCACAAAATATGCTTTGATTGCTGTGCCATAAGCAAGAGTCTAACAGACGTACAAACCTCAGCACAATCATTTGTAAAACACAAAATTATTCCATTACATATGCACACAGCCTACCTTGAAGAACGTCATTACAAAAGTCAGTGATGACTTAGCAACCAGCAATTGCTGTACAATATAGCATAAAGAGTGTAAGGGTCCGAAGTATATTATGTACTTAGAGTGCAGTGGTCAGGAGTGTGTCATATACAACCCAGTGTACAAAGTGCAATGGTCAGTTACATTAACCTTTTAGAACCATCCATACTGGAATGATTGTAATGCCAGTCAAATTATACACTAGGTACAGAGATAGGGAATCACATACATATGAACTGTAATGCCACCCAGGGCAGAACACATGAACAGCACCCAGCAAGAAACAAGTGAAAGTTGTAAGAGCCGGCCAGGTGACCATTCTGGACTTCTGGGAGAGGGAAGTAGTTACAGTGCCTCTAGCACACCATGCCATTAACCTGCAGTGCTCCCCCCCTCCCCTTCAACCCCAGCTTGGAGGTCACTGTCACCTACCAGGTCCAGCTGCAGATTCACAGCGCTTGCCGCCCAGACACAGAAAGTAGGCCACGTCAATCAAGAACCTCGATCAAGCTAATTGTAAGAAAATAACATATGAATATAGATCTGCCAGCAGGATTTCTAGCCTGCTAATTAAAAGCGCCTAGCTGCTGTGCTGTGTACAGACCATGTATCTTCACCCTGGCTCTTTGTTTCTGGTCTGTTGGAGTTGTGATAAAGAACACACAGTAGCTTGACCACATGATTACTGTATAGAACATGTCTACAGTATGTGCAGAAGCTCTAAACTAGTAAGCAGGAAAAGAAGGCAGTTGTGAGAAAGGCCAGTGTGCTTTTGAGAATGAAAGACTTGGGTTGAGCTTGTGCCGACTGCTTGGTCCCAAGAACTAATACAATCCAGATTCAGTCTTCAAAACTGTACCGAGTAAACAATGGTGTCCACATTAAACAATTTTAGTCCAAATTTGGCTTTCAACACCGAAAGAAGATTTAGTGTATTTATATACAAGGGCTGATTGTTTAGTCTCAGTTGGGCACTGCTAAGAAATCTATCCATTATTTTATGATCCGCTACCATGAAAGGATTGCCGGAGTAGAACGCCAGGCCGATCCATCTGAAATGTAACAAGATTTACATTTTTTTCTTGGTAGCTATGAATTTACAGTCTATGTGCAAACCGATCTAAACACCACATTTAATCCAGTTATGCATTCATTAAATATTCTTAAAGGCTTGCTCACACCAAGTAAGTTGAGCTGCTCTGATCAGCATTTATCAAAGCAGGCTCAACCCAAGGACACAATTGTTTTCTATGTGCCATATTTACACCAGACAAGTGTGTTTTGTAATAATACAGCATGTCTGCATTTTTACGCAGCCTAATGCACAAAAACACATAACAAAACACGCTGTTGTGCATATAGTTAAATAAATGTAATTTTTTGAAAAATAAAGGTAAACAGTGCAATACATTGTAACAACACATCACCCCACCCTTGGCAACGCTGTGAGTGCACACGTTATTTGACATATAACGAGTGTAGAATGTAAATGGACTGTGTGCTGGCTGGAGGTGGAGGAGCACAGAGATGACCTCTTAAGTGAACTGATGGTCCATCATTTTACAGTTTTGAACCAGCAGTATTGCATTAAATTTTGGCCAAAAAGTAAAAAAAGTCAGGAATTTGTACAGTGTCTGAAAGGGGTCTGTGAAATAGAAAATGAAGTGAGCGGAACTGCAGATTTTTGGCACGTAGAACAATGCATACATATATAACTTGTGTATTCAGAGGTTTGCCTACACCTAACTTTTTAATAGCAACATATACCGTATATACTCGAGTATAAGCCGAGATTTTCAGCCCATTTTTTTGGGTGAAAAGTGCTTGCTAATATGAATGGGTTAAATGATCCGTAGTACATGATATGTAGCCCTGTACCCCCTTTTCCACTTACAGAGCTAGGTTATTTTTCTTTTAAATAAATATTAATGTATTTTAATGGTATCTATCTACCAGTAGCTGCCTCATTTCCCACCCTCGGCTTATATTCGGGTCAATACTTTTTCCCAGTTTTTTTGGCTAAAATTAGGTACCTCGGCTTATATTCGGGACGGCTTATACTCGAGTATATACGGTATGTGATTAAATAGTTTGTAGCATGACTAAAATCCTAAATCATGGCAATGTCAAAATGACTTACTAATTATTAGTGTCAACCTTAATTTGTTCTAAGAGAAGCCTCAGCTTAAGGTGGAAGAAATCATTAATTAACTTTTACACAATGGTAAGCACTTCTGTCCGCACAACCGAAGTATGGACAGAGGTCAAACATGGTGCTATGAATTTATCAAGGTACGTGTGTTATATGGTTGTTTAAAGTTCATTGATAATTTCTATAATTACCTTACACTTACTAACTGCCTTGTTTGGGGGGAGAGGATAGAAAGTTGAAGCTAAAATTTTGTTTGTTACAAAAAATATTAAACCGAACAAACTGCTTCTATTTTATTAATAAACATAAGATTTAAACAGTTCGTACCTACGCATGGCTTCAATTAATATTTAAAAAAAAAAAAAAAATTAATTTGTGATGATTTTTTGTTGGTGTTCTATAGTATACTGTGAGAATGCAGACCCTTTGAGCTCCGTAGCCCCAGAAAATTTCCACTGTAGGTTTATGTGTTTGAGATCAATCTGTTATCAGTTTGAAATGCATTTAAATGTGTTCACAAGAATGTAAGAGAAACATGTTATAAAAGCAAAATAATGTGATGCCTGACAAATGCAAGTAAACACTGCATTCCAGATTCTTCATAACTCTTAGACCCCACTAGCACTGAGCTACATCAAAAAAAGCACTTTTGCAGCACTGATTTGAGCTGAGCGGCTTTGAGGGACACTGAGCTACATTGAGCTACAGTGCACATATTGTCGCGCTATGTAGCGCTACTTTTGCCATGGACTTTGCAGCTGCTACATTGGGCTGTATCCAATCAAAAGTGGTCTTGATGTGATATAATTCATCTCCTGTTTCCTGCTTATGTTCCTGCTTATAATTCTGTGCAAAAGTGACACTTCTGTAGCGCGACAATGTCGCGTAATATCGCTGGTAATGTGCAACATTGAGCTACACCATTAAAGTCTATTGGGCCAAATCGCACAAAATCCGCTGAAAAATGGGTCATGTTCAAGCAACAAGCTTGAGCTACAAGCTACAGGTGACATTGAGCTGTGAGATGTGAATTTTTTTTCATTGAAATGCATTGGAAGATTTACTTTGAGCTTCATGTTTGAGTGATTTTTGAGCAGAAATCGCGCTAAAAAAATGCTCAGTATGAATGGGGTCTTATACAATTGCAGATCAAATGCCCAATTATTCGACCCTTATAAATGTTATAAATACATATATTCCTATAATGGGTAGAAGCATTACCTTCTGTTTATTGCTATCATGTTACATAAAAAAATGTTTTATGTAACAATGTTCAAAAGCTGCCCCCAAACAATATAAGACAGTTTTGAGGCTTCTCTTAGAGCAAATTAAGGTTGACATTAAATGATCATTACTAAGTGATAGAGACACTGCCATAATCTAACTGATAATTACTAAGTAATATTGACATTGCCATCATTTAGAAGCTTAGTCATGCTACATATTGCAGCATATAAGGCAACACGTTAAAATATTGTAGTTGCTGAGATGTATGAAAGTCATAGTAAACAAACTCTTTCCCTGGAAAAAAAAAGTAGTAAGCACTCATAGCACAGGTCCCCTTTAACAAATTCGTAAATTGTGCCCAAAAAAGGCAAGCAGGGCACAAAAAAACTAGTCACTAGTATTGCTATGGTCTCCTTGCAGGTGAACTTTTCTCCCTCTCTACTGACTTACGGTGCCTTGTTCTGCATGTTGTCTATGTATAATGGTGGCCATCTTGCTGGAGAAAAGGCTTTGCTTCCTCATTTGAGAACTAGCCCCCAATGACTGGTGGGGGAATATTCAAGAAACAGCAGTAAAGGTGGAGGAAGCACAAATGCACAGAATGAATGATGCAGAAGCAGGGAGATTCTTGCATTGCAGATCCTCAGGTACAGTTTCCTCTCCATCAAAAAGAACAGTGGGCAGCACATAAGTGACCTCACCAAATCATACTCCAAATGCTGTGAGATTAGCAGTCAGAGAAAGAAGTGCCTTAGATAGTCTTCCACTGGAGATATAAGAGCTGTAAGGCTACAGAACAGCAATGCCTAGGCACAGGAAGTGCACTGCTATAGGGATTTAAGACAAAGGCCTCATTCACTTGGGCGAAGTGGGCCAACATGCAGCAAGAATCAGCATATTTCTGGCTGGGATCAGAGGTGGTTATGGACAGCTGCGGCTGCTCAGTTTCTACAAACCAATAACAGGCTCTGCAGCTTTCCACATGTTCTGCACATACAGCTGTTACATGCGGCTAGGGACAGATGAGTGACCCTGGATGCAAACTGTCTGTGTCTCAACTGTCCCAAATCACATGTAACCAATGGATGTGTGGATGCATGTGAACAACCCTAGACAGTGGGGCCTGTAATTGATGTGTACAGGCTGAGCGGTCGCAGCTGTCCACAAGCACATGTGATCCCAGTCGCAGGAATACACTGATTCTTGCTGCATGTGGGCCATAATAGTCCATGAGAAAGAGGCCAAAAGGTAAATCCATTAAAAACTGCTTACACACAAATAACATTTCTAGATGTTTACTACAAGATAGCATACTGCATCTCCACTTCAGGTGTACTTTAATATCTCTGCTAAGGGTGTGCTCTATAAAACTATGCAAGCTCCCAAACACAGGGTACTGTTAAAAAAAAAAAAAATAGACAATGCTATAAAACATAAATAAATAGAAATTGAATGTTAGTTTAGTTCAGGGGTAGGCAAACTCCTGCCCTCCATCCATCTGTAGTGAAACTACAAATCTCCTCTATATAACTGGGAGTATGAGGCAATAAACAGCGAGGAATAACAGCAGCACAACTAAACATTTGATGTAAAATAAAGGACTATAATAAAATTGTCGCAGTTTACAGTTTTGGGGAGCATTCCACAATATGCAGCCCACAGCTGGTTAACGATCATTGAATGCCAAGGGCTCTGAGTTCTGGATGTTGTTTGCTCACCCAGTGGACTCATTACTTCGAAAGGTTGCATGGCATTAAAAAAAAACACAGAGCTCTGTGAGTATTTACTGTATATTCTCTAGTGACCAATGCACTATACAGTAGAGTGTTGACTAAGCAGGTCTGAATACCCCGCCATCATTGTCTTTCTGAAAAACAAACCAGGATATCATTTATTAAAAAGGAGTGCTGCACAGAGACATGAAGTTGACATTTTTGTAGTGGCAATGCTGCATTTCATACTATAGGCAACAACTCGGTTTTTCCTTGCCAGGCATTTTGGAGCATTAAAACAAAAAATACTATTGACTCAGTGGGAGTATAACAGGACAATGACTGCCCTTGTAACACATTTTATAGTGACTAGGTGAAGCTGGGGTACTGTTGATTAAATTATGTATACGTTTAGCCATTTGAGTTTCACTATATGAAAGGCCTCAGGGTTTCATAATACAATGCAAAGAAAAAAGTGCCTGGAGACCAGTGTTGTTAATATATTCAGAGGAGGATCCATTCATTTCCAGACTGAACAGATGCTTTTACAATAGAAATCCCTAATAATTATAATCTGTTACAGTAAATATACAAGACGGCTTGTAAATGCAAGAGACATGGTATGTTGTTAATGACTTGAAACAGGACTCTGTTTTGCTGATCTAGATTCTTGGCAGCTTAATTTCAGTGACAGATGTCAGGCTTTTTCCTCCTTGTTCTTCAGGCTCTACAGAACTTTCAGGGATGCCAAATATGTCTATATGCTGCTGGAGGTGTGTCTTGGAGGGGAGCTCTGGAGCATTCTACGAGACACGTGAGTTCTATTGAGTAAATGTTATGGTCTTGGATCTCTATTGTACTTTTGGCCCTGCTCTGTAATGGTAATTAACATACCTGTTTTTGTCCTAAATAGAATCATCCCATTCCATTAGCATAATAAGTAATATGTACTAGGTAAAAGTTGGCAACATGCATTTCAGGGATGAATAACCCAGTTTTCTTTTAGACCTTATTAATGCAAACACAAAGATCAACTTAGGCTGTAAGAATTCAACACAGAATATTTTTTTTTAACTTATAGGGTATTGGTAATATTCTATAGATATCCATAATTTTTAGTCTATGGCCCAGTAGGGCTTAGCCCAAAAACAAATGTCAGGTCCAGTGGTTGCCATGTAAGTTTTTGGATTTTGCTAAAGCCTTTATACTGTACTTAACATGCATAGAGATGGGAGAACACACACATTCCATTCATATAGTGCAAATTGAAATTGTAGCAAATTGAAAACCAACAGCCCAGTGCTGCTCTGCGCTAACAATAAAAGCTCTGCAAAGTAAACAGAACTAAATTATATTCTTCCTAGGATAGATTATCAAACCCCTCTGAGCACTAACTCAGATGTCTGAAATTACCAATCATAGTTTACTGTCTACTTTCTATCATATTTGATATTCATTGCAGTTCTATTATTAAAGAAGTGCAGACTTGATATGTAAGCCAGCAAAAAATTTGGTTTGATTTGTTTAGTTGCTGATTTTTTGCGGGATTCGGGTTTGAAAGTCAATTCGTTTTGGGATTTTTAATTCAAAATTTTTGTTAATTTGGGATAAGTTAAATGATATTTGTAAATTAATTTTCATTGCAGCAAAGTGACATTAGAAAACAAGTGACATTTCCTTTTAGCAGTCCACACACACAAAAAAAAACAGCAAAGCACATTGTCCCCATGTTGATGAGGACAAGTGCCTCTTCCCCACAAACCTGGCCTGGTGGCTGTGGGGGTCTGCAGTCAGGAGGGCTCATCTGAACCTGGGGGCCCCCTTACATAAAAGGGACATCCAGATGCCGCCCCCCTCTTGTGAAGGAGTAAGGGGTAGTTGTTACCCCTACTCATTCATCAAATACAATAAAATTGTAAATAAACTCGCCACACCATAAAAAAATCCTTTATTTGAAACAAAAAAATACAACACAAATTGTTGACATGTCTTTTATCAAAAAAAATTAAAAAGTGTTTTAAATGATGCAATCCCAAGGTCAATCACGTTGTCCAGCAATGTAGATCCACGTCATTCATGATGGACGCCGACTCGCCGAAAGAAAAAGTACCCCACTCCCGCTGACGCGACTGATCCTGATGAACTCTCGCTGCAAAATTACAGCTCTACTCCCGAATGACAACAAAGGGCTCAGAGTGAGTCATGACATTACAGGTTTTGGTCCGCCCCTTTTGTTGACTTTCGGGAGCAGAGTTGTCATTATGATATGTTGAGGACATGTGGCCTGATATGTGGGGGGTGTGCTGCCCCCCCCCCCCCCCTTTCCTGCTCTGCCGTGATCAAGGGTCTGGTAAGGGATTTTAGAGGGCACCTCGTGTTTTGTTTTTTTTTGGTGTTGGGGTTTGGTGGGAATTGAGAAGGGGACTTTGTTTTTTCATTTTAACGTTTAAGAATAAAAAATAATTCCGAAAAAATATCAGATGCATCCAAAATGTTTATCAAAAATTTGGATACGTTCGGATTAGTAATTTTTTTCATTTGGAAACTCGGATGCGTCTGGATGTCCGAACATGCAGAAATTCGTCCGAATCTCAATTCAGAACGAAACGAATCGCACATGTCTAGTACAGACTATATCCAAATTTTGCATGTTGTTGTGGGGGGTATGTAGATAAGCTATCCAAATGTATCTTCTGTAATTTACAGAGTAAATAGAGGACTACATTTATCGATATCCATGTACAGTACACATTTTTCTATCCATTTTTAATAATAAGTATGGTTATTCATTTGCTAGCATTTTCCTTCTGGCACTGACATCCTGGGTCTGTTTATACCAAGTACATGGAGTTTGTATATGCTTGTAGTGATTGTATGGGCTTCCTAAATGTCTCTATTTGATTTTCTTTCTCCCACAATTCCAAAACCATACTAAGAAATACAGTTACTTACCTCCAAATTGGTCCTAATGTATATCTGTAAGACCGGATTTGTAAGACAGGAACTTTAAATTTTAAACTATTTGAGGGCAGGTAGTGCTGAGATTTACTAAACGGGAACCACATGCGCAGCTCAGTGCACAGGCTCGGCAAGGCCCCGTGCCAAAATTAAGTTACTGCCATGCTCATATGCAGGAGTTGCATCATCTCTGCCCAGTCAATCAAGAGGCCAAAGATGGCGAATTCGGGTGAAGACTGGGTGAAGATTGAAGCACCAGCGAGTGAGGTGGTCAGTGCAGCGCTGGAGGGGATCACTTACAATGTAAGTTAGCCATAATGTGCTAATATGTTGTGCACAGTACCACATTTTTTTTAATGCTTGACTGCTTTGTGGAGATGCATTAGCAATATTTTTATTAAAGCGATTCTTTGGAAAGTAATGGAGGTGTAGAAGATCCCTAGCTGAATCAAGGCCTAGGTCAGTGTCTGTGAATTTAAGGGTTATCTCCCAAACCTTGTCCAAGGACAAGTGCAATACAAGACCACCTCAAGAATGTCCTTTCCTCTCTGTTGTATCACCAACACTTTAGTCCAATTAGAAACACTATTAAATAGACTGCAATAGGCTGTGATGTGTGTGAAATCAACACATCACATCAAAAGTCTTATGGAAAAATGCTAAGAGCACATGAATGATATCATCCCACAGGGACACTTTATTCAACAGTAAAAAAAAAAAAAAAACCTTGTTAAAAATGGAGCCATAGCCCCTACATCTGTATATCATATACAACTTCATAGACTGTATAGGGTATAAAGGTACAGAAAAATACAGAAAGAGTCTCAAATTGCAGGCAAGATTAGTTATTTAGAAAGTCAACATTCACAACAGTACCTATACAGTATACAAAATAGAAGTATAGGACATGGTGGCTTGATTGCCTAAGGACTTAGTTCAAAAGACTATAGTGGAGGGGTCACTGTACATAAGACACTTGTCCCAGAATGGGTGCAATACAGGACTGTCCCAAAAGACATAAAGGAACATAATTTCTTCTCTGTTACATCATCAGCATGTGGAGGGAACATTAGGGAAGAGTCTGTGTATTTTTTGAGGGACTAGGTACCATCTTAATATATTGTAGGCTGCTTCTTGAAGTTTGTTGGCTATGGAAGCCCTGTGAGTAAAATATACGACATAGGTTTGCTGCTCTGTTTAGGGACTGTCCTAGGTCATGCTCTCATTAAGTTATATGGCACACCATGTTATCCTCTGTAGCTTGGATTAAAAGTGCATGAGTTTAGGAAAGAAAGTGTCATACTGCATGCTGATTAAGGCACAAATGATCAAATTGGGTGAGGGAAGAGTACCATCCTTTAAGGCTGAGGTCAGAAAATGCTTGTTGCACAGCCTTTCATAGAGTAGTGGGCGGTGTTGTCATTTGTTGGATCTCTCTGATCGATTTAGGAATGTTGCCTGTGACAAATAGCAGTCGGAATTGTTGAGTACAGTATAACAGGGAGAAAGATTGATCTTGGAAACTAGGGGTGAATTTTGGATTTCCTGCAATTTGAAGCATAACTGAAGATTCTGGAGGTGCTTGGAGCCATGTACTAGATGTGGAGTGGAAGCCAGGGTGATTTGCAGAAGCCATGGAAAGGCAGTTAAGTGAGTCTGAAGTATTTAGCTGCAGAAACTATTTTTTGCAGGATATAGTTCCTACACCAATCTATAATCCTTGCCTGCCTAATGTGTCACTGGATCAGGGAAACCCTCCATTCTGTTTCAGGAGAGTGAGCACTGTGCAACCGATTCAGTGCGATTTGTTTCCCAATAAGTATTGGATGAATTCTCTATCTACCGCCATTAGGAATTGTTTTGGGATATGTATGGGAATAGTCTGTATTAACTATATAAGGTGAGAGAGTATGTTAATCGTTAATGTGCTGTTTTTACCAAAGCAGGAGAAATATTCCTTACTCCAACTTTTAAGGTCTTTTTTGAATTCTAGATAAAAAGGAGTGAAATTATCGTTTGGCATCTGCATTCCCATTGGGGAGACCTGGATCCCCAGATAGGTGAAAGAAGACCTTGTCCATTTAAGAGGAAAATTCTGTTGAATGTTTTCTGGATGCCAACCTTATACTATAAAGGTCAACATAATAGTGGAATTTGGCTAGTAAATTAAGTAGGGAAGTCTCAGGACAGGATATGAAGAGCAATTTTGCGTTGAGCCTGTTTGGAGAGGTAGTCTTGTGATATTAGGGTTATTTCATAGTAATTCAATAGGAGTTCTAGGGTGAAGATAAAGATTAATGGTGAGAGAGGACATCCTTGGTCTGTGTAGAAAAAAGTGTTCTGATATGCATTTGTTAATCCAAACTGCCGCTGTTGGATAAGAAAAAATAGCTTTGATCCAAATACATATGCATGCCCAAGTCTATTTGTTGAAGGATAGTATCCATAAAATTCCTGAAGAGCAGTAAAGAGGAAAGTTATTGTCAAAGTGCTTCAAGTTCTGCAGCCAATGGTTGGCCCAAAGATTCGTTGTAGTCAGTCTCCAAGCTAGCTATTTGGAAAACAATAGCAGCTTTCTTTTGCGTACATTCTATTTTTAAACCTGGAACCTAATTTGATCAGTTCCCGTTAATGCAATTGTGGGTTTCCCACACACTCAATGGCCAGCAGGGAAGATTCCTCTGTCCACACTGTTTAGCATGCATGGGGAAGTTGAATGATTTTTCACTTAAAGTGTCTTAAGGTGTATGGCCAGCTGAACACAGATGTTGCAACAGCTGTATTTTCTATAGATAGGATGCACAGAAAACACAGAAATAACATCATAATTTTGAGTTATTAACATAAATATATAATCAAATAAGAGCATATTATATATAGAGAATATATAGAGAGAATATAAGCTGGACAAAACTGCACTGAAAGAAAACAAAATGTATGATGTGATTTCACTTTGTGCTGTAAAGCTCACAGTACAAGTTCTTGTCCACTACTCTCCTCTCAGTGGATTTATAATGGTATTGATTGTTTTAAGTGATTTGTCTTGGGTGTTGCAGTTCCTTTTTATAGACTGTATTTTACAGCAATAGGGGGTTAAATGGTTCTCTTTATCTTAACCCTTTGAGGGAAGCCTGTCTTAATGAATTACTTTGAAATAAAACAATGAAATCCCCATCCTGTAATCCTCAGAGATCCCTTTGAGAAGTGCTAAGCTCTCACAGTGATTTATCTCTGAAGTGGGTAAATGAAATATACAACTGTTCTTCTTATAAACTGTGAATTTGTGATAAATTGTATACATGTTAAAAGGTTACAAAAATGTTAACTACAGGAAAAATAAGACTGTTGTTTTAAAATTGAATAATAGAGTTGTATCCTTTTGAACACTGCGAAGTAAATACGGGTTTCCAGTTTTATTACCTCCTAGACCTTTGTTTTAGTTGTCCATAGCTGGTGAAAATATATCTAAATCCAAAATGTCCTTTTTTGTTGTTTGTTTTTTAGTTTAGGAAAGAGTAGAGAAGGATTAGAACTCCAGTCAGGTTTGTATTGTTTTCTGTGTCTCTACTGGTGAGGTTCGCCTTCTATGTTCATCCTATTAACTTTTGCCACCAGGACTGAAAATGAGGGAAAATCCAAAATTGTGAAATGTAACCAGAATAAGAATATAGGGAAATTCTTCTAATGCAGACACTTGTTTGAGGAGAGATTTACTTGCACTTTCTGTTGTATCTAAAAGACAGAAAATAAAGGAAAATGTCCCCATAGGCAAAGACAAACCTATCTCCTATGCTGTCCCCCTACAGAAAGTTCTCTCTGCTACTAAAAGGTACTGTTCTTCTGGGTTTCATGATGTCCTGTGTCATTGAATCCACTTCCTGTGAGCACAGGGTGTCAAGAATGCAGGAGAATACTACCGCACTCCTTACTGGTATGTCCCTTGCAGTGGGTGCTGTAGTGACTGCGGATGGCGCCGCTTCAGATTCAAGTAGTACAGTATATCACCAGCACACCATGTTTCAATCTGCAAGAAGTGATCATTTTATTGATGTACACACATCTTGTGACATAGCAACGCTTCAGGCCACACAGGGTCCCTTCATCAGGCATGATGAAGTGACCCTGAGTGGCACCAGAAAGTGCTTTCTGTAAAAAAAAGCTTTGTGAATGAGATGTAAAGTAATAAGAAAAACATTGCATCCTTTAAAAAAAAGCATTAATCATCTTCCTCAAAAAAACTGCTAGCAAATGAAAGCTTTCTCTCCTTGCTCACCGTAAGATATAAAAGTAATTCTAGAAATATCAATTTTTAGTAGGCAGAGAGGGATATCACAACTCTATGCATTAAGTCCAGCGTACTCTTACAGCTTTAGTTATCATAGAAGCATTAGGGTTGATTAACTAAAGGCAAATAGGGTGTTCATTTTGTAAGAAAATGTTCCCTCAGCTTAGTGAATGTGGTAAAAATTCACTTTGCAAAGAATGCCCAATCACATGCATGGAAAATAAAATAAATCGTATTTTTGTTTGCACATGACTGCATGATGGAAATCAGCAGAGCTTCACCTCATTTACTAAGCTAAGAGAAACTTACCTTACAAAGAAAACAGCCTATTTACCTTTAGTTATTCAACCACATTACATCAGAATGGCCCAGTTGTGGTACCTGGTAAAATATGATATAAAGTAGCCTTCAGAGATAAACAGGGGTGGGTAGGTAAAGGAAGGGAGGGAACAATGTTTTTTGGCCCCCCCAAAAAATTGAAAAGGAGATAGAAGTCAATTACTGCATGTGAGTTACAAGAGGTCTTATGGGTCTTATGAGACCTTTGCCTAGTTTGCGTAAATAAAAACCACAATGGGAAAATGGTTTGACTTACTTAATAAACTGTTTACTGATGTCACTTTATATCTCTATTTAATCTTTCAGGGGATCTTTTGAGGAAGGGACTGCCAGATTTTGCATTGGGTGTGTTTTGGAGGCCTTCGACTACTTACACAATCGAGGAATTGTTTACAGAGACCTCAAGCCAGAGAATCTCCTCCTTGATTCTGAAGGATATATTAAAGTGGTTGGTTTACATTTTACAGTTTTTGTTTGAATAAATTACAAGAGAATTTTACATCAACTTGGCAAAAGAAAAAACAAAATGGATGATATATAATTTTGTTTTAATTCACCAAGATAAAACATGTGCAATGTCTTAAAGGCAGAGAATGAGAAAGAAAAGGTTGTTCTCTTAGTCTTGCATTGATTTAATCACCCAGAAAGGCTCTTTTTAGTTGGTTTCTTTTGACATACCATGCTATAGAAGTAAGGACATCCTTTAGTGTTCTCCCTAGAATTATTTTGCATTTGGCTGGGATGCGTAGCCAGGTTCTTTAAAATAAATAATAAAATTACTGTATACTGTGCAGTACTATAAAATTCACTCTACATTATATTATATACAGTGTAATATAAACAAGTTGCTATAAAAACATATTTAAAAAAATGAATAACCTTACTTAGGTTATCAACAATGTAAAATAAAATAGAAATTAATGTGGGAAAGAAAATCAGTATTACGTAAACAAAGACTGCAAAACATGCTGAGCAAGATGATCAGGGGCTGCAGACATGTTGTGTGAGGTGATGAGAGATTGTGGATAGGCTGTGGGAGATGGCCAAGGACTGTGGCCATGCTGAGTGAGATGATCTGCAGATAGGCTGTGAAGGACAGATGGAAACTGTGGGTATGCTGGCAGAGACTGCAAATATGCTGTGCAAGATAGGCCATGACTGTAGACAAGCTATGGGAAATGGGTGGAGACTGCAGACATGTAGTGGAAGAGGATGAGAGACTTTGGATATGCTACAGGACATTGCTAGAGGTCACAGCCTTTTACTAATGTAGCACCCTGTAAGCAGGAGTGCTTAGTATATTAAGCTATTGTCAGATTGTAATCAGTCTGATGCTGATCTGTAGTCTATGCTCATTTGCTTTCCCCTAACCAATCTGTTCTTGTTTGCATCTGCCTGCTGCTATGTGTATCCTTGCCACAGAGCAACCAATAAGGGATTGTTATGCGTGTGTATGTCTCCCTGGCCAACCACCAGGAGGTTCGTGACCAGGGGTGCATGCTGGGAGAAGACATAAATATTTGGGGTGGACCATGCGAGATTCTCTTTCTGGCTAGGCCTGAAGCCTAGGGGACTAGCCATGTGCTCACACTGAGGCCTGAGTCTGGGGGCCCAGTGGCTACTACAGATACCAAGGATGAAGATGACTGATGACTTCTGTTTCCAGTACTGCTCAGCAAGGTGCTCTGAACACAGATTGCCACATTTGGCTAAAATGTCCTAATCTGTGAAGGCAGCAGTTACTTTGCACTAACACTTAAAGGAGAACTATGACATGAGTGATTTCCACTCACCTCATAGTTCTAAGCCGACCTGTGACAATGAGACTGTCACAGGTCGGCTCAGTAGATCGGGAGGTGAGAGAACACATACCGGGTTCCCTCACCTCTCGATCCTGTCACGGCTCTCTGCCGTGACAGGGGGAGGGGCTGGATTCCCCTCTCCCCGCTCCGATCTGCCAGCGCTGACTGGCGGAACGGACGGGGGAGGGGGCGGGTACAGCTGGCTCTGCCTCTAGATAGGCAGAGCCAGCTGTCACTCACGCAGCTGGTCGGATCCCGTCATCTAATTCGGGATCCGCTCCAGGTGCGGAGTCTCAGTATACCGCGAACTGTAGCTCGCGGTATACTGAGCTTAGGGTAACGGGAGGACGCTAGTTTGTGTCCTCCCGTTACCCCAAGGAGAACTATGGGGAAAAACACTGACCCCATAGTTCTCCTTTAAGAGTCTACATCAGCCTGGATGTTCCTAGCCTTAAGCCTTTTTCCCTGACATTCTACAATAAAGTTTCTTCAGCATCATATCTACAGTCTGTTTCTCATCTTTATTGGTCACCACAGAAGGAGGTAAGTGCTATTGGGGCAGCCAAGTTGCTAAAACTCCCTAGATAGGCAAATAAAGACCTGTTCATCCAGCGGCTCCTTCGGAGGTGAGCGCTTCACAAAACAAAAGAAGTGCAGTGATAAGAGAGTATAAATATGCAATTATGTGAAAACTTATCTTTTCAGTCAAACAAATTTACATCAAACAATCCATAAGTTGAAAGTTGAAAAAATCAAACTAAAGTCCCCAAAACAGGAGATAATCTGCTGTGTAAATAGTATTCCTCCACCATGTGAGCAAAGTGCTGTTCTGTGCAAATCTTCACAAGTAGCGCCAAAACCAATGTGCTAATCACCTTTACACTTCTATGTAAAAGACACACTCCCCAGATGCATAGTACTCTTATAAATTAAGAAAGTCTTAAATGTTTGATAAAAATTTGGTATTTGATGAAAAGACACTTCCCAGTACATAGGACCCTTAGGTAATAGCGGTAGGCAAATCCTTCCTTAATGCACCTCACAAGCCCAACAATAAGAGACAAGGAGAGAGGGATGCGTACATTGCATAAAAATATCTGACATCTGTGTGTGCTATGTCCCGCACCAAGGAATGTACAGCATAGTGGAGCTAGAGATATACCACCAGTTGCTTCCAACTCACTTAAGACGTCATATGTACTTTGTTGTGCCCAATGTGTTTCATCTGTCCGGATGTCCACCGGAGCTTATGGACTTATGGGTTTGTTTTGATGTGAATTTGATTGATATGAAAGGTTTTCGCATAATTGCATATTTGTTTTTGTTTTGTTTGTCTATATACTCTGAAGTGTATTTACACAGCTGCTTGAACTCATTTAGGTTTTAGAACAGAGCACAGATTTTAGTGATCACTACTTATATTGAAACTTCCTCGTAGCCTCCAAATCTCCTCCAAGAGTTTATTTTCTTAACTCCTATCCCAGCCTCCATGCTTTGCTTGAATAATTTGGCTGAATGCTTTTTTAAATTTTTTCCAATCATCACAAATGCTTGTTATAAAAGTTGTTTTACTTGTCTTCTAGGTAGACTTTGGGTTTGCAAAAAAGATTGGGCCAGGAAAAAAGACCTGGACGTTTTGCGGCACACCAGAGTATGTAGCCCCAGAGATCATCATGAACAGAGGACATGACTTTGGAGCAGATTATTGGTCTCTGGGTATACTCATCTATGAGCTCTTGACCGGAAGGTGAGAATATTGCCTGCTAATTTATTTTAAATGATGATGCATTTTTGCATAGTGGTCTGCAGAGCATTGCCCCGCTGATCAGCTGTGCAGTGCACAGGCTCTTGCTGTGTTTACCAACAGCCCCAGATTTGGAGCCACACACAGCCACGCAAAATGAACAAAAACGACCTGAATTTTCCAGTATGAAGGATCAGAGAGCAGTGTACCTGCCATTTAAGTTAACTTGACAATGGAAAAAAAACATAGATGGCCCTCAGCTCTTCATGCTATGCTTTCCTACTAAAAAATATCTAAATGCAGTGTAAGGAACAAATCCAGCTTACCACAAAAATTTCTATGATGACTTTTTACTTATTTAGACCTGCCCAACAGGACAGTATAAAATCCAATAATATATATTTATTGTGGAAATATCATAGACAATTAAATACATATAAGCCATAAGTCCCTGGCTACCTGCAGACCTATCACTATGCTCAATTCTTTTTTTTTAATGTTATTTTTTTCCATTATTACCCTAAGGCTCCATTTACACCTGAGCGGCTGTCCATGTTTATTCGGCTGTACGGATATGCGCACAGCCGCTCTAAACAAAGAATACAATGCACTTTAATGCGCAACCTTCAGACTATAGTGGGGGAATAGTACAAGTGCGATAATCCGGCTGATTACCCAAGTTCGCAGCTATTTAATAGTCGCAAACGAGCGGCATCTGTGCGGATTCAAAATATTTTAGCATTTTCGTTCCACGCGGTCTTCCGTGCGAAAAAACGTGTGGGGAACGCAAATTCTATAGGTGAATAGAGCCTCATTCAGGTTGTATATAATACTGTTGCTAATAATGTAAAAATTGGAGGGCTGCAAGGCTGAATAATTATATTCTACTTATTTGGGACAGGCCACATAACAAGAATGATTGTAACCTTAACCCTTTCGCTGCCAAGCCCTCCGGAACATTTTTCAAATCAGCTGGCCAAGCCATTTTTGCAATTTTTTCCTATTGATTTGATTTTCAACTGCTGAGTTGCTAGCGTTTGTAAAAGACCCCCCAAACCATATATTTTCTGAAAGCGCAGGCCCGGTAGAATAAAAAGATGGTGATACTAAATTTGTAGGCCCTGCGATAATTGCGCAAATGTTTCTCAAATTAATATTAAACCGATAAAAATACACAATTCAATTGATAAAACACACTAAAATCAGTATCAGCGCACACGCAAAAATAATTTTCTGACTAAATCTAAAAAATAAAAAACTGTATTGAGTTAATAAATAACAAATATTTGCAAATTTGAAATTGCGCCTTTTTGCGAAAAGGTCAAAAAATTACGGTACGCAAAACTGTAAATAAGCGACTTATGTTAAAAAATAGTTTTTACGCTGTGTTGGGGTTTGTGTTGTGATAAAATGATACAGG